CGCCCCGCTCGCTGCTCCCCTCGCATTTGTGCTCTTGTTTCCTTAACGCCTGCAGACAATCTCCAAGTATGGCCGCTCGGCATGGAACGGCAAAGTTTGCTCAAAGTTAGTCCTGCCTGCTCTGGTCAGCAAAGTTGACCGATGCGTTCCGATGTCGCCGATGGTGGCAGCGCAGCCAATGAATTGAATTGTTGTTCGTTTTGTTTATGCGGGCAAAACATAAATTTTATGCGGCTTGAGTTGCTGCAAAATTAAGTTTTTCTTTCTCCCTCTTCCGTTGCTGGTGTTCTTTGTTTTATGCGCTTCCACATTTTGCGTTATATTATATAGTATATATACAAGTATATAGTATGTACAAGTATGAGTCGGTTTGAAAAAAGTTGGCCGCAAGTACATTAAAGTTCTGTTCTAAGCATTTTAGTTTATTTTTTTTTTATCGCCTGTTGACTTTTGGGCAGCAGCGATGCTGAAAAGAAAAACACTACGTTTGCCAGTTAGCATGCATAAAAAACCGCGAGATATATACACATTGTGTCCCGGGGTCCACTCTTCCACTGAAAATGTAAAAACAGAGACAGTAAGTGGCAAAAACTGAGCTTGTGCAGCCGCGACAGTGCAATATTTAATTTAATTTCAATTTCCAATGGTATTGCAGATGGTTTAATTACATAATGAGCAATTATGCCCACAATGCGCAACGGCAAATACAACTACGAGTAAGCTTGCAATTCTTTCACAAAAAAGTCCCATACTCACATCTATTTATTTACAAGCACATATGTACCTTTATGTTTCCCCGTGCGTGTGTGTGTGTGTGTGGGTGAGGAGTGCAAAACAAAGGAAATTAACAGAATGAACATTTTAATTGGCAGCAGCGTGCGTAGAATCTCAATGGTTCAGATAAACAGATGCACTGCCATAATACGTAAATACATACGTGTCCACATACATACGAGAATACTCGTGAGAGTATGTGAGAATGTAATATTGTAATTGAAATTGGCGCAAATTTCCGCATCCGGGCTTTAGAGCGCGAACAGGCAAAACTTTGCAAGACATTTGAACAACATTTAACTTAAATGGTTTTTATATGCCCAAAGGGATTTTCCTGAAATGCTCACACAAAGTGTGTGTGTGTAGCTAGTTGAAGAAAACGCAGTGCCTCTAAGAACAAAATCAAATATGTAATTGGTTTGTGGCTGCGCCATTTTGAAGTTGCTTCTATCCCTTCATACACACATATATACGTATACATATAAGTATGTATACTTAAGTAGGCATGTCTTTTAATAGACATCAGTTATGCACATGAGTGTGTGAGTGTGGATGTGTGTGCGTGTTTGCAGACAAACATTTGCTTCTCAGGCGTACTAATTAATTGTTAATTGCTCATTTGAACGGATTATTAGTGTTGTAGCATTTTGAAATCACTCCTAAACCTATAATTCCGTTAACTAATTAAATTATATTACTCACTTGAAGCGCTAGCGGCAATTGTGGGAGCTGTTTGAATACTGTTTCTCTTCAAACATTTGTATCGGCTTAAGGTTATTATTCTGACAGCTTTTAAATAAGCCCAAAATCTGATTGACAGGCCTAGAACTGTATAATCTCTGGAAAGTATTGAATCGGTGTACAACTCAGATAGTTAGATAAATAAGTAAGTTAAATCATTATTGCTCATATTGTTATCCTGTTATTCATGAATATAAATACGACTGAATTACTTCTACTTACAACGTGACCTGCACAGAATAGTGACTGGAACAATTCAACACTAATCCAATATTTACTTAAATACGTGAACTTACATATTCATATTCATACATATACTCGCACAATATGCATTTCTTCATTACTATGTCTATGGCACATGGAAAGTGCTATTTAACCCTTGGCTACGTTTAATAATCTCGACAATTATAAATGCCTGAAATTAAGGAGAACACTGCAAAGTAGTCGAAACAATGCCTACAAGCCGCCATTTTACAACAGCTAGAGGATGCCAGTGGCAAATTAATCCAATCCTTAGTAGAGGTAAAGCGCCTACTTCTCGCATCGTTACAGCGAAGGCAACAAATTAAATTAAATCATATTTTCAATTACAGCAAAATTAGGCGCCAACCCAACGGTCATTACACCGCACTAGCCGGTGGGCCACCAACTTCCTGCTTCAGTGCACAATTCATTAACACTTCAAAGTTTTAGCAGCCGGCACGGCAAACCAAAGCAGAACAAACCAAAGAAGAAGAAACTGTAGAGGGCCAAATACACGCAACAACACTTGAGGCGTTCGTTCGTTAATTTGTTGGACGAACAACAAGATGCCTCAGCTCCCTATAACCTCGGCCGGCGACGGTTACGCGGGCTTTCGGGCACTCGGAGCGTGAAACGCAAAACCCCGACGAACGACGTCCAACGACGCCTACGGCTAAGGACAAACAATAAATATGTGGGTGGGCTGGGGCGGCCATAGCCGCATAACCGGATACAACTATTGTTCCGGAAAAGTACTACTCGTAGTTGCAGGCAATGCGTCAGACGCGAACAGAAAACATAGACGCGAGTGGGCGAGTAAAAAAGCAAAAATGATTTCGCACAAACTTTTCTGTTAGTCAATCATTTTAATTAAGTAATTTTTTCGCCTACTTGTCGCAAAACTTTTAATAGCAATGCTGGCTGCTGCTGAGGGGAGCGGGGAGCGGGGAGCAGGGCGCAGGACGTCGGGCAGAGTCAGTGACAACATATTGCCCGACGGCCGCATTGCCACAATGTGCACTGAAAAAATTATGATCCACAGTTGCTGTGGATATCTGAGCTGGAATTGGAAATGTAACTGATATCTTACATAATTAAATTGGCTCATAAATAAGATTTGCAGTGGTTTTGGTTGGACTCAAAAGATTACGATTAATTACAATTTTTCGAACGTACATATTTCACGCAGAAATGACTGATAGGTGAGGCCTTTCATGAAATAAAATTTGACTTTAACTGATTAACTTAATTGAAATTAATTTATATTTGAAAATGCTACTTCTACCCTTGGAGGAGCTTAAATAAATGTTGCTTTTAGAAATATTCAAAATATCGTTTGAATTTATTTTTATTATACAAGTATGGTTGTAAATTGGAATTTGTGTTAGGGAAACTTTGAAATTGTTATCGATTAAAATTGATCTAATTTGCTCTCAAGTTTTATGGGTTTGTGTACAAATCATTTGCCTGCCTGACCGTAGATTAGTCTTCTAAATTGTAGAACCTAAAAAAATGCGTATACTAAATGCTATATTTCGATGTGTTTATCTTTTTCTGCTGCAATAAATATACTTGTAGTTTGTTCATTTTTCGCAAAACAAAGCCCTGAACGGAATGGTTTTCCCGAGTGTTCCTTTCCCAACATTTTTTCGTCGTGTCCTCTTCCTGCTTCGCTGGACAGTGTGTAGACATGCCCGACATAACTGCATTTGCGGTTAATTATAATGTTGAGCCTGATTACATTTGCTTTGCTCAGTGGTTTGTGGTTTGGTGGTTGGGTGGGTCGCTTGGTTGCTCGGTTGCTTGCCTGCTTGCCTGCTCGGTTGCTCAGTTGCTCGGTTGCTTTTCAGCAACTTTTTCTTGTTGCCATTTATTTTTTGTGGGCCTATTCAGGTCTCTCTGGGTTTTTTCGGGATGGTGCGCTGGCGTAGGCGGAAGTAATACTGTCAGTTAGTTTTCCTTGATGGCGCGAATTTTTCGCAGTTAATTGCTGAGATTTGAAGTAAGTTAAATGTAGCGCTTACCCGAAGAAGGACAAGACATGTTGATTTTGTTGCTGTTGGTGATATCCAAGTTGTTGTTATTCTTCATCGCGCGCTGTGTTTATTTCATTGAGTTTGGTTGTGGTTTCGGCTTAGTTTACTTCAACTTGGCTTGTCTGTTTAATGACCTCATAAAAGAGCAATATAAAAGTTGTTCAAAAGTTTTATTAGCTCTGTTGCCCCTCTCGCTAATGTTGTTGTTGCTGCTGCTGCTGCACCGCTTTGTTGGCATGTTGCCGCTGATCAGTCTGCTCATTGGTGCACACCAAGTGGACGTATTTTGGTGGCATGCATTGCTTAGCACTCGGCTCTAGGCAGTCGGTGGTCGCGTAATTAATTAAGTTTTAATGGCTTTTTGCACAAACATTGGCAATTAAATTTTTGCACTCAGTACGTCAAAGCGAAACTACATCCTTTGATGTTAGCGTTTTGTCAATTAATAAATGCACAGCTCTTCTAAATACAGGCACGCCTCTACAACAAAGGACCACCATGTTCCAATAGGTCTATTGCACAATGTGTCCTTTCGAAAATTTGTCACGTTTAATTTTTACTTTATTGGTGATAGAACTCTGCCATACTTAACACATTTGTCCACCTAGATTGGAAAAGCTCACACTGTGCCTCGACATCTGTCTATTCAACAGCTCGGAAACTCCCCTTTCTCACTATGGTTTGAAGTTTGTTTTTGACTTTTGAATCAAGCGTTGGCACTGAATAGCTTGCATTTAAAGCTCTGCATATCCGGAGCACACACTTGACTCTTCACTAAGCATGCCAATGAATGTGAACAGTGCCTTCAACCTGGCTGTCAGTCTATCTTTCTGTTCGTGCTTCTCTGTGCCTGCTTGTTTGTCTGGCAATGGCAATGCGTAGTGTAGGGTACACACAAAATTAGTTCATGCCGGGCTTAATCGTGAAAATTGCCTAAATCCTGCTCACGCATGGGCAGCTCAAATAATACGACGTATAGCCGTATAGTTTTATGGCATGACTAACCAATGACATTGCTTTTGGAACTGAAAGACATATGCTCAGCTGATTTGTCTGGCCGCCATTTCTGCGTCAATCGTGTGTTCTTAATTAACGCCGGCTACATCATGCTGCTGCTGCTGGCCCAGCGCTGGGGAGCCTATATATAGTGTCACCTATAACACGAAAACTCAGTTAGTGTTAAATTTGTGGGGAAAAGTCAAAGCAATGGCAGACACACGATACGACAGCGTGCAAAAAATCTGGTTTGGACCCAAAGACAAGGAATACTATGGTCCCGATATGACACTAGGCGAGGTGGCCCTGCTCATGTTTAAGCTGCATGCGGACAAGGTGCTGCAGGTGGACGATTCAACGGGGGAGACCCTGACAGGCGCCCAACTATTTGAGCAAAGCCGGCGACTGGCGCATGCCTTTGAGCGCCTAAATTTGCATCGTGGTGATGTGGTTGGGATTTCGGCGAAGAATACAACCTATCTGACCGAGGTGGTTGTGGCGGCCCTTCTAAGCGGAACTCCCATCAATCCACTACATCCTGGCTTCGATGAAGGTGATTAACTATTTTGTAGTACATTTAGCTTCATTTAATAATTGATTGACATGCAGAAACCGTCACATACATGTATGAGATTACGAAGCCGAAAATCATATTCTGCGATGTGGAGAATTATGAGACCATAAAGAATGTTCGCAGCCATTTGACATTCGAGACGGAAATCATATTGCTGAGCGGCAGTCTGTCGGGTGTCCGCAACATTCAAGGGCTTCTACAGGATGGTGGTAACGGCTACGATCCTAAGACACTGTAAGTGAGCCGTTTCAGCCACACAGTACCCCCTCATGCCCTTTACTTTTCAGATTCGCCTGCCCATATATGAGCGGCGATGATACAGCTTTTATTGTAAGTTCCTCCGGCGTTAATGGACTGCCTAAGGGCGTGGCACGCTCTCACAGAAGCATGCTGAACAATACGAAGATGTAAGTAAATTCAATCATATCTTAATGGGATAGTATAATAATGTTTCGTGTCAGGCCGCAGCTGTTCACCGCAGACATGGTGCTCTTCTGCTTCAGTCCACTATACTGGATCACCTGCATTTTCACGCTGCTTGCCTCGGTGGTGAATGGCTGTAAGCGCATCATCACCAATCGCCCTAATACTGTCGACAACTTACTCGATATCGTGTCACGTCATAAGGTTACCTTTGCCTTCACAGTGCCGCACAGCATGGGAGCGCTGGCGAAGTCGCAGCGCACTGACATAACTGAGAAGCTCGCTTCCCTGCAGGCACTTGTCTGTTCCGGTTCTAAGGTGCCCAAAGCCATTTGGAAGCGCTTGCACGAGCTGGTGGGCAAAAGATTTGTGGTGCTGTACGGGCTATCAGAAATAGGGGGTGTGAGTAAAAATTTGGATGGAACTGTGGGTAATGAGGGAAAGTTGCTGCGAAATATTCAGGTTCGTGTACTGGATGAGGAGGGAAACCCTCTGGGTCCCAATGAAACAGGACATGTGCATGTGCGCCTGACATATCGCTGGGGTGGCTACTACAGAAATCCACAGGATACGCAGGCTACTCTAACACCGGATGGCCAGTGGCTCAAGACCGGCGATCATGGCTACTTTGATAGCGATGGCCGCTTGCATTTCCAGACTCGCGAAACGGAGTCCTTCAAATACAATAACTTCTCTGTTTGTCCCAAGCATGTTGAGGATGTCATTCTACATCTGCCAGGCGTACATCAGGTTGCTGTTTTTGGTGTGCCCGATGAAATATCCACAAATCTTGTGGCATGCGCCGTTGTGCGCGCAAAAAACGCTGAAGGAGAGAAACTAACGGCCGATGCTGTAAAGAATATAGTAGCGGAGCATTTGAGTGACTCAAAGCATATACGTGGAGGAGTTTATTTTGTAAATGAATTGCCCAAAACCATCAACAGAAAATTACAGCGATGGAAAATCTTGCCTGAGTTGAAGCGAATGGAGATCAATGCGGCATTGTGAAAGAATTGAAAAATGTTCAATAAAATTTGATAAAAGTGTTAATGCTTAGCATTTAATAACGGCCTAAGCGTTTTATTTCCGCAATAAATCATCATGAAACTGTCTCAATAATGTCTTCATAATTGTTTTATTCCATTTTCAATTTTTGATTTACATTTACAATTATGACGATGCTATATGAGACAACATTGACGACATGGCACTATACTAATTGAGATTGAAAGAAGAACTCGTGAATTTTGAATTACAGACTGATCCATATTCTATGGATTTCTTACCACATTAGTCAGCAAGTGACAAGACAATATACAACCAGCATCTTTTTAAACTTGAACTGAAGTTCCGACGACAACAGCGAAGCATCATGTGCAGCGTGTCCGACTAATTAACGAATTTTGTTTCCTATTCACAGCCACAGGTCTTTAGAGGGTTAGTAGAGCATCGTATATAAACGTGGCGAGACGTAATAAATCACTTAGTTCACAGTTTATTGTCCAAGATGAGAGGACCCTGTACAATCAATTACAAGTGCGACCAGCGCATATGGATAGGCCCCAGAGGCAAGGAGTACTATGGCTCCGACATGACCATCGGTGAAGTGGCAATGCGCATACTTATCGAACTCAATCCGAACAAGGTCTTGCAGATATGCGATTGTACAGGTGAGAGATTGACGGGCTGGCAGCTCGCACAGCAAGGCCTTATCATTGCGCAGGCGTTCAAGCGTCTCGGGCTTCATCGCGGGGATGTTATTGGAGTATCAGCCAACAATACAACCTATTTGACAGGCGTTATCATAGCGGCGCTGCTCTCGGGAACGCCCATCAACCCTCTGCATCCAGATTTTAATCAAGGTGAGCGAGTAGATAAGGCAAGTCGAACTTGTTTCTATACTTTAAAACCATCAGAGACTGTGAAATACATGTACGACATCACCACGCCCAAGTTAATATTCTGTGATGTGGAGAACTATGAGATAATCAAAGGTGTTAATGAGCAGCTAGCCAACCCTGCGCTAATATATTTGGTGAATGGGAGCATTGAGGGGGTTCCAAATGTGAGAGAGCTGCTAAGTGCGCACGACGGGACAAAGGAAGTGTCGTGAGTTTTAAGTGTCTGTGTTTTACTATGGATGTTTTATGTAGATCCTGTTGGCATTCACAGCTATGTGCCCTGTCCAAAGCTACATGGCGATCACACAGCGTTCATTATTTGCTCATCGGGGACCACAGGAATGCCGAAAGGTGTAACGCGCTCCCATCGTAGTCTGCTCGCTAATAGCAAAAAGTAAGGATTCACAATGAAATATCACAAGAGTGCTATTTTGATTTTGGCTCTAATAATATTGAAAACGTTCAACTACATTTATTAAACAGCCCCTCCACCTACACCCGCGATAGTATTGTGTTCACCTTTAGCGCTCTGTACTGGATTTCGGGAACCCTTGTTCTGCTCGCCTCGCTTGTTAATGGCTGCACACGTATTATCACCCATCGTCCCTATACAGTGGACTATATGCTTCAGGTTATCTCGCATCATCGCGTCTCCTTCGTGATTCTGGCCTCGCATCAAATTGCACTTTTGAGCAAAAGCGATCACAACGACGCATATATCAGGGATAAACTGGAGTCCATAAAAATCATGATTGGAGCTGGATCCAAGATTTGCAAGGCCGTGGCTAAGCGCATGTACGATCTGATAACGAATGAGCGCTTTATTGTTGGCTACGGTCTGTCCGAAATGGGCGGCATCACCAAGAACGTGGGTGGCCCCTTGGGCAGTGAAGGCAAGATCATGCGAAACGTAGAACTCTGTGTTCTGGACAAGCTGGGCACACCTCTAGGCCTGAGCGAGGTGGGTATTATACATGCCCGATTGCGCTATAAATGGGCAGGCTACTATCGTAATCCGGAGGCAACGAAGCGTGCTATCACCGCCGATGGCCAATGGCTGAAAACGGGCGATATTGGTTATTTGGACAGCGAGGGTAATCTCTATATACAAACACGTGACACAGACGTCTTTAAGTACAACAACTTTCAAATCTATCCTGAGCAAGTCGAAGAATTCGTATTGCAATTGCCGGGCGTAAGCGAGGCCTGCGTCTTCGGTATTCCCAACGAGGTGTCTTCCAATCTAGCAGCTTGCGCTGTGGTGCGCACAAATACCATTGAGGGTCACCAACTACGGGCGAGCGATGTAATTGGCCAGGTGGCACGTCATCTTGGCAACATATACCATATACGCGGAGGCGTGTTCTTTGTAGACGCGCTTCCCAAAACGGCGAACGACAAGCTTCAGCGGCGTAAAGTGCTGGCTATGATCAAAGAACTAGGAATAGACGCGGCTCAGTAATGTTTTGTGTTTGGATGTCACGATAGCTAGATAAAGCTTAAGCGATTGTTAAAAAAAAACGATATATAAATTAGTACCATTAGTACCTCATTGCCTAAAAACGATTGTCAAACAAGTTTAGAATTATGTCACGTGCAAACTAACATGAAAAGAAAACAGACAAATTAGAAATATAATGTGGGTGTTGGAGGTGGTGGCAGTACGGTAAAAAAAAGCCAATAATATCCCGATTATTCCAAATCTTAGACGGTCATGCAGATTAAATGTACAGACTTATGTATATGTTTATCACACAACTCTTTCAGTTGATAATATATGTCTACTTACCAAACTTTTAGTTCATAATGTAATGTTTAAATTCATTTTGGTTTTTACAAGTTTTTAGATGATTCATAAAAATTGCAGATATATATATATATATATATAGATATATATTTATTAACCTACCTTGTGGAAATCAAATTTAATAGAAGAGCTATGTGACACAAAACAGCTTCATTCTTCTACAAACATCAAGTCAGTATGCAGAGGGCCAAATGAAAATATTGCAAGGGACTCAATGCATTTTAATCGAGATTTAAATTGCTGAATGGTATGGTGGCAAGCACCGCAAGCAGGCCAAATGAACTGAAAGCTAGCGGCGACTGATGAAATGGAGTGTGTTCTCTGTCCCACCCTCCACTCCCTTTACCACCCGACGTGGTGGGTGGATAGAGAACTATGGGACGTGACCAAGCGTCGACCTAGTACTGAGCGCCCTCCAAGAGCCATAGATGCATAGAAATGCATGTGACAAGCAATTTGTTATTTGTGGCACTCCTGTGGCTTTCATGTTTGCTATCGACAAAAACCAGCACGACAAGAACAAAGGGGGGCTACAGAAAAACATTGACGACTGCTACATAAAATGAATTGACAAATTAAAATTTCAATATGCAATACATATTTTATCGCTGTGTTGTTGCAACGTCTGTCTCAATCGTTGTAACTAGCATTGAGGTTAACATTTAGACATTTGACAAATGCCGAATAAAATGCTCAAAAACATGATTCAATTTGCACAGCAACAACGTTCTACTATAGTTGTTGTATCATAGTTTTTCAGTTCCTGCAGTCAAAACATAGAAATCCAGCGCCCAAGGCCATACAACAGTGGCATCGTACTGCACTGACATCGCACAAAGCCTTTCCAATATGCTGTGGTTCTGGCTCTGGCTCGGGCTTGGGCTCAGAACACTTTTGACCAAGCGGCTGCGTACACTTTACAACTAAAGCGGATTATCCAAGGCTTTGCCAACGACACCCAAGGTGCAAAATTTGGTACAACTAAGGATTTGCATGTACAATGTTTAGTAGTAAAGTCAGGTCAATAATATATATGTTTGTAAGTATTTATTTACACAAAGCACTACACACAACTGTCTTGTACAAAGAACGATCAAAAAGTGATGTTCTCTTTATTAATTATGTCTTGTGTACCTCTGAGAGCGGGAATGCTCTCAGTGTGTACACTAATGCTTATTATACTAAGTACAAAAGTGTATACATCCTTACTTTCTACGGTGATTAGAGTAACGGCCTGCTACAACTCGGCCATCCTTACGTCTAGATCTCCTGATCGTACAGTTATTATTGAGAACAGTATTTTTTCTTTTATGTCTAACATGAAGTAGAGATTTTCTTAACTTAACAATTGTATTACTTAAACATAATTTCACACTACGACATTTTCTTTTGAAGGCTTGCTTAAATTGACAAAGGTGGTTTTTTCTATTGTACTTTCTTTTTAACAATGTTTTTTGTTTTGAGATACAATTCTTATTTATGGTATATTTTTTTCTCTTTTGTACATTTGTGGTTTTTCTTTGTATCCAATGTTTTATATTGTGTATACCCCAGACACCTTGATATGGATTGCGAGAGACTTGAAATCCTTCGACATCTTTCAGAAGAAATCTGTCATTTTTTAGAACTTTTGCAATAACATATGGGCCTTTGTGTTTTGGAATTAATTTTCTTGCTGCACCTACGGTAGAATCAAAATTTTTAACCATTACATAGTCTCCTTCATTGTATTCAGTTGGTTTTTTTCTTTTTCTATCTACATATGTTTTGTTATACATTTGTGCCCTTTTCTGGTTTTCTTCAGCATTTTCTCGTATATTTTTTAAGTCTCTTTCCGAAACAGTTTTATCTAATTCCTCTAGCTTCTGCCTTAGCTCGTCTATGACCTTCCCTGTCTGTTCTATTCCAAATAGCATTTTACTGGGTAACTGTTTTATGCTTCGATGCTGTGTGTTATTTAATGTATGTTCGACTTTTTCTACAACTAGATCCCAATGCAAACCATTTTCTGGTTCTATCAACTTTGCTATCATTGGACCCAGACTTCTATTAACTCTTTCTACCTGCCCGTTTGCTTGAGGTGATCCTGTAGCTATTTTAATGTGTTTGATATTGCATTCCTCAAGGAAGTTTTTGAAATTCTCGGAAGTAAAAGCAGAACCTCTGTCTGAAATAATGCATTTCGGACGACTGTATGCTCTAAAATAGTCTTTTAATGATCGAATTACCTCTTGTGTATTGGTTGTCTTTGTTGCATATAATCTAACGAATTTAGTGAAAGCATCTATTATTACTAATATATATTTATTAGCTCTTCCTGCATCTACTTGACCGTAATGGTCAATATGTATAACATCAAATGGTTCACTACCTTTAGGAATGCTGTGCATAAATCCATCTGTTTTTCCTGTTTTTGGTGAAAATGAGACGCATTTTAAACAGTTTTCGATATGTTTAGAACACTTTTCTTTAAGGTTAGGAAGCCAATAGCTTTTCTTTATAGCTTCAATCATCTTGTCTCTACCTACATGTCCAAGTTCATTATGGTACTTGAACATAACATGATCTTCCATTTCATTTGGAACATAAAATAGCAATCTATTATCATTTGACTTTTTATATATTATTCCGTTGCGCATCTCATACAATTTATGTTCTGTTTTCTCTAAAAATTGTCTAATTTCTTTCAGTTTACTATCTTTTGCCTGACATATAACTAGATTGTCCTCAAAGCTATTTGTTTGAACGGTCATTATGTTTGTACACCTGCTTAGAGCATCAACGTGCTGCATACGTGTACCAGGTCTATGGACTAGTTCATAAGTATAATCTTGAAACTCAAGGGCCCATCTGGCAATTCTAGGATTAAGTTCAATCTTATTTAGTGTAAGTGCTAACGAATTACAATCTGTAACGATTTTAAAATCTTTGCCCTGTAGATAAACTCGGAATCTTCGTAAAGCATAAACAACTGCTAACGTTTCTAACTCAAAGCTGTGGTATTTTGATTCGACATCTGTTGTTCTTTTGGAAAAATAGAAAATTGGGTGCAATTTTTTGTCTTCTTTCTTTTGCATTAGTACGGCGCCAAATCCTAGAGAACTGGCATCGCAATGTAGTTCTGTTTCGTGTTTGTAATTGTATATTGATAGAACTGGTGCTTGTGTCAATTTCTCTTTCAACATTTTAAAACAATTGATTTCATCGAGGCCAAATCGGAAAAGTCTATCTTTCTTTAGAATATCATATAAAGGCTTAGCAACGGTAGAAAAATCTTTTATAAACCTTCTGAAATATGAACAAAGGCCCAAAAAGCTTTGTACCGCGTTCACGTTTGTTGGCGTTGGAAAATGTTGAATGGCCTCGACTCCTTTATCATTGGCTTTTACTCCGTCTTTTGTTATTAGGAAGCCTAAGTATTTGACACTTTGTTGCAAGAACTCGCATTTGTCTATTCGAAGCTCAAGTTTGTTTTCAACTAACCGTTTAAAAACTTCTTTGAGGGTATCTAAATGTTCGGTAATATTTTTGTTTGCTATCAAAATATCGTCCATGTATACGACGACCTTGTTTTCTCTAATCATGTCGGAGAAAATTTTGTTAACAAATCGTTGAAATACAGAAGGCGCATTTTTAAGGCCAAATGGCATTCTTAACCATTCGAACTGGCCTAATGGTGTGACAAAGGAAGTGTATTTAACTGTTTCTTCGTTGACAAACACATGGAAGAACCCATTTTTGAGGTCAAGTTTTGTGAACACCGTTTTATCTACCAATTTGTCTAAAAGGTCATCTATCAATGGTAAGGGATAATTATCTTTCAGTGTAATTTTGTTTAGTTTTCTAAAATCTACACACATTCGCAAGTCACCTGTTTTCTTTTTTACTAATACAATGGGTGAAGCATATTCGGAATCACTTAGTCTAATAAATCCTTTTTCTAAGTATTCATCTAGTAACTGTTGTAATTTATCTTTTTCCATATATGATAAGCGTCTTGGTGAGCAACTAAACGGTTTCGAATTGTTAAGACTTATTTTTAATTCACACTTTACTAACGGAGCGAACGGGCGTTTCGCATTAAGATAAACGTTTTCAAACATTTTAACGAATTGCAGCCGAAAGGCGTGGCTTATGTTTTTACCTATGTTGTACTCTACTTCTTCATTGCATAAGTGGTTGATTTCTAACATTTTTCTCTCGAAATTGTCTAACAATGGTTTAACTGACTCTAAATTTGACGCAACAATTTTATCTTTTGGAGTAAGCTTACTAACAATTTCTGTTGACAATTGGTTATCTAACGATCTATTTCTAACAATTGTACTAACGATCTCGTTGTTTAGGCTATCGCTTTTAATTTCAGTTTTATCTAACAATTGATCTTTTGTTTCTATACTTTGTGTAAAAGTTTTAATTTTATCAATGGGCTTACAAATATTTTCAATTTCTTGCTTATTATGAACATTTTTGTTGTTTGAAGCCTCAACATTAGATTCTAAGGTGTTGGATTTCGATTTTTGCTGTCTTAATATAGGTTTATTGAAATTTTCCTTTAAAGCAACCATATTCAAAGCATCTGGGCTTAAACGTAAATCGCATGCGCTTAAAAAGTCTCTGCCAAGGACAACATTATACCCCATAGACTCAGAAGCCACCACAATTAAATGAAAATAAATTTTAATTGTTCCTTTTAATACATAACATTGTGTTTTTCCAAATGTTTTAATGTGGCTTGTATTCATGCCAAAATATAAATCGTTAACTGAATCCAATATAATTTTTTCGTCGATAAGTGAAATCTTAATTAATGAGACAGGGCTTCCTGAGTCTATTAGGCATTCTGAAATCAATGGCATAACATTATCAGGGTTATTGAAGAAAATTTTAAAATATCTTACATAATTGTTTTTGACGACGCTCTTCCTCTCAGGGCACTGTGCAACAAGGTGACCAAGTTTGCCACAAGCATAGCATGAGCCTCGTTCGCGTTTGGCTTTCTTGCAGACATTGGCGAAGTGGCCTCTGCAGTTGCAGTTGGCACAGCGAACATTGTCTTCGTACTTGTTCTCTGGGCCATCACTCATTTTTGGTCGAACTGGTAGACGCACATTGGCAAAGGCCCGTAGCATGTGCGTTGGGTCGGAAAAGCATTGGATGCGCGCCTGTACACGCAGGCTTTCCAGCGGAATTCCTTCGATCATCTGATCCAGCAGCTCGTCATCATCAACATTTATTTCTCGTGAAAGAGTCATCTTGTCATCAAAATAGGAGGAAAAATTTTCTTCGGCTTTCCATTTGCGAGTCTCGAACTTTCGTCTGATGTCCACCTTTGATATTTTTCCTCCGAATGCCAGAGTCAATTGGGCAAACAAATCGTCGAGAGACTCTGACATCCGAGCCGGGCTTGCATGTAGCCAGACTTGAGCAGCGCCTTTTAACTTAGATATGGCCAACATGCGTAAATAGTTGTCGTTAATATTGTAGGCGCGTGCAATATTTTTTATTTGTGTGATCCAAGCACGCACGCATGACTTGCCGTCGAAGTCCACCACTATCTCTTTTGCGAACGTAAAACTGTGCAACGGAGTAAATTTGTTCTCTTCGCTCTCAATTTGTTTTGGTTTTAAGAGAGTATAAGAGTTTTCGGCAGCATCATCGTCAAATGATTTTGCTCGCAGCTCTAACTCAAGTAAACGAAACTTTGCCTGTGTTGCTTCTAATTCGGCACGTAACTGTAACAATTCTCTTTTTTCGTCTTCTTGCATTACTTCTGACGATTCGCTTCTGTTGCTGGCATCGTGATCGGCGCCTTCGCTGTTGTTGAGGGCTCGCTGTTGTTCGCTTTGCGTCGGAATGTTGGTCCCGTTATGATTTTCGTGGGAATTGTTGTTGCTCTGCACACAATGTTGCGAACTATTGGCGTCGGGACGCAATTCATCGTTGGCACTTTCACATTGTTTTTCATAAAGTTCGGAATTTCTGGGTGAAAAATTTTCATCCATATTTTGGGCTTGGGGCTCCTTAGGGTATGCGCCACGATTTTCAATATTGTTGAGTCGGGCGACCAGCTCTGCTTTTGAGCCCATTGTTGATTTACCCAAGGCGTTAAGCCAATTTTTTAAGATTTGTGTTGAAAATGTGTTTACATCAATTGTATCGTTCATAGCGCGTTACTATCCCACTTCTGAGATTTTAGTAGTAAAGTCAGGTCAATAATATATATGTTTGTAAGTATTTATTTACACAAAGCACTACACACAACTGTCTTGTACAAAGAACGATCAAAAAGTGATGTTCTCTTTATTAATTATGTCTTGTGTACCTCTGAGAGCGGGAATGCTCTCAGTGTGTACACTAATGCTTATTATACTAAGTACAAAAGTGTATACATCCTTACTTTCTACGGTGATTAGAGTAACGGCCTGCTACAAATGAGTGGAATAGAAATACTAGGACCGGAAGCTGGGTAGATCTTAACACAAAACAGTTTAAATGTAGTGAAGGGAGTATAATATACTTAGATCGCTTTCGTAAAATTCAAATTCCCTAAAAGGAAAATCGATTATTTGTATGTATTATTGTTATTTAAAAAACCAGTCAAGAAGGAAAACTCGATGCGAAAAGACAGTCCAGCCATCCAGCCATCCATCCATCTTAACAACTATTAGTTGTACCTTCCATTTAAATTTATATGTATAAGCAAGACGAACCCAGCCAATAGCCAGCATACAGACAAAGGAGCATTTCAAAAACAAGGCCAAAGAGTGAAACTAATTGTACAAGTATGTGTTCAACCAAATATGTCTGAATACTGTACAGCACCATGAATTCGCCGTGACTTCAAAGCACATACTTTTTGTTTAGAAATATCAAGAGTTTTATTTGACTAAAAGCAGAATAAACTGAATGCAAATTCATTAGAATTAGATATTTTCAATAAATGTATTCATATTGCTAACAAAATTTGTTCACTAGCCTGCTTGTTTTTGACATTCAAATGCCACTCATCTATCAATTGCAACCTTCGAATAAAAATATTCTAGCAGGCAGCTTACCTTCTGCCCCGGTTCACATTCACAAACGCAACCACAATTCGGTTGGTAAATAAAAAAATCGGAAAAATAGTGAAATATGCATACATGTTATTATATTCGGATTCGGTTTGTTAAATATTTTATTCATCACCAACAACAATGGGCGAACACATAAACAAATCTGTATCAACATGTGTGCACTTTCGGGGGAAACGATGTTATGCAAACACTTGGAATTTGGCATTGAGGATATCCGTAGCATATGCAAAATGTAAAGTTGCAACATATGAGCAGCAAACTCGCCAACAATAAAGCTCGAGTATTCCATATGTATTTTTAAATAAATAATTGGGGCTATAAACAAGAAACATTTTAATAACAAATATTGCAGCACTCACAATACAATGCACGTAGTATGTGCATACACGACTACCTCTACATACATTTGTACATTTAAATGCCCAGAAGTCCAATTGTGGGCTTGATTGTAATTAATAAACAAACTCCTTTTGCTGGCACACACGCACACACACACACATTCAGGGGCTCAGCTCAGCTTAGTAACCCTCACTTTTTGTCATGCAATGAAAAACCATCAACGGCCGGCACACGGCCCGCATGTTAATGTTCTATGCACTAGCGCTCAGTGTACTTGTATGTCCTGCGCTGTTAAGCGTGTCCTGCGCCTGCGTTGGCAACAGCAAAGTCGTTAACGACGGCGCACATCTGCTCTCCTGTGTCCTCGATGCGCTCCTGCGTCTGACGTTGATTTCCAGTGCTACTTCCCTACTGCGCCTAGGGGGTTGAAATGTGTTTGAAAAATTCCATATCAAGAGTGGTTGTAATTATAAATATCGTTCGAATCAACGTGCAGCATGGGGATGGGTTGTCCCTGCCACAAAAACCGTTACTTTCGCGCACAACGAAAATATGGGAATTGATAAGAAATGAATGAAATGAAATGAAACAGACCTTATTTTTTGTGGCAATATTTTGATCTATAACTTACATTTCATTTAAATTGTATCCTTAAATTTTCGACTTGGGCATAATTCAGCTTAAAATTTTATAAAATTCTTAAAAATAGCTGCGCGAATAATTTACGTGCGTGGGCATCGAGGAACGTTATCAATGTTTGCGGTTCCTCTTTAAAACTTCAAGCTTTCTTGCCTATCCCCATAACTTACGAATAAGTCAGGTGCGTCCGATTTTTTGTCGATATACACATTTTTACACAGCACTTCTACCAACGCCTTAACAACTCGGCTTGGCTTCTCAACACGTTTGCATGCTTTTGGGCGCCCATATTTAACTTTCAAACAAACTTGAAGCTCATGCAAATTTCATGCCCAGCGTAGTTGGACCACACTAAAAAAAAAAAAACAAATTAAACATGTTATGGTATTTTATATAATACACATTTATGTTTTTATTAAATACACAAATCGAATGGTTTGTGTTGAAATTTCTGTCACCTGCCCACAGCCTTAATTTCGGGTTATTTTTCAACAACTATATTTATAAAATGAATTTCTTTCTTGACTCTATTCTGAATGTCTTCAATGTGTTATGTAAGCAAATTTTTTCTCTGTGCAATTGTGTTTGTACGGGTGTCTACGGCTGTGGGTTGTGGGTTGTGCTGCGTCTGACATGCGGTTTTTAAGGCCCATACGGGCTCATAACGCCGCAAAAGGTGGCGCCTAGTTAACTCGGTTATGGGTTTCCTGGTTTATATAACGCCTGAACATGTCAGTTCATAAAATGTATCTTACATTGCGGTTTTGTGGCACTGCAGCTTGCTGCTCATGTCCTACTGACTGCCTCGTTTTCATACTTTTTATTGTACAAATTTTATGCGATTTCCCTATTTTCCGATAGCAGATTGCCGATTGACCACAACGAAGCGCAGCGAGTGTTTCTTTCATTTTCTTGTTTGCCTTGGACTGCGGCTTTTATCAATTTACTCACAAATCAAATATGCCCAAGTGTAATTTTGTGATGGGCTGGATGGGTGGCTGAGTGGTGGTTCAGTGGTTGGATATTGCGTGTGCTTGCATGCATGTCTGTCAAATCTTTACTTTTGCAACTCGCTCAAGCGTGCCTCGTGTTGGCAATGAGGCGTACATTTTTGATTTCTCGCACATTTGATTGATGAAGCCAAAGCCAAATGGGTGAGAGGTACCCAAAAAATATACGCGTTCGAAGATATTTGCACGTCCGTCCCTATTTGAATGCTGCGGGTCCACTTAGCTGCCTCAAAGATTAACTCAAAAGTTATCGCATTGAGAAGAAAAGGTTATGGTTCCTATTGCTATTCCTGCTGCTGACGTACAAAAGCACTGATAAAACATTTCAATAGCCTTGATAAAAAAGGTGCGCATATGTGTCAAAACTTCAAACGGACAATGCAAAGAGCTCACATCCTCGTACAAACGCTTATACATAAATATGCTCTTATATAAATACATACATTTCTATGGAGCACATAATTTCCGGCTAGATAAATTCGAAAGGAAACGAAAGTAAAGAAGAGGAAAGGCAGAGCAAAGGCACTGCATTTAAAATGTATAACCACAAGTTAATAGTTTTATGACAAACCGAACGTATCCTTTAGCAAGGAAACTTTTGCCAACAGCCTGGGTCGCAGCTGTCCTGCGCATTTTAATTTCCTTTAGCCCGGCCCAGCACTATAAAAAATGTATAGGCAACGTTGCCAAGCCGAAATAAAAGCGAAAAGATGATGGCACCAGGCCCCCGCTCTACCGCTTTGTAAAAGTCGCAAGAGTCCCTCGAAAAACTTTCAGGTCTCAGCACAGTCAAATAGCTGGCAAAGATACTTAATGGGTAGGTAGATACACTGAGAAAAACAGTTGCTTTAGCCTCTCTTGAATACCTATTAATGCAATAATAAACAAAAAGCTACTAGATTAATCATGCGTTGCTGGTAATTTATCAGCACTTCAATTGAAATTAATTTGTATACATACTTTCATTATTGAAATGGGATATACTTGTATTCATGTATATTAAGACTTTTAGAAAATGCGTCTTAGTTCTGGAACTTAAGACAATTTATTTCATTGTCAGTTGGCTAAACGCTTTTTCTCCAAGTGTGAGATGGAAAAAAGGTGAGCGTAAGGACACGCGCGTCTCGGCCACGCTTCGCAGCGCCTACACATGTGTGTGGCCGTTGTGTGTGTAGCGTCCTCGCCGGCTGTCTAGCACACGC